TGTTTGATGCTGCAGGTACTATAAACGTGTATTTGGAGAGTTCTTTGTGACAACTGACTCAAATGCTGAAAAGAACTCATCTGTTATTGTTCATGCATCTGAATACCATCGATTTGGTTGGTTGCTTTTCTTAGCTCTTCGTGTACATGCTTTCAGCCGCTTCAAAGACTTGGTGACTTGCACCAATGGTCTAATTTCAATCTTGGTGAGTTATATTCTCATGGCCCTCTTTTCTGTTAACGTTCCTGTAAAAATTTGTAATCTTTTTGAACACGGTGAAGATAATTATTGAAACTTTGAACACTTGAATTTCTTATGAGTTTTAATAACTGAATTGCTGCTTTGGTGAGGGAAATGATGCAAATAGTTTCTTATTTTGTGGTTGTATCTGTTACAGGCCATCTTAATTATTCATGTTCCTACTCGATTTCGGAATTTCAACATTCATGACTCATCACGCTTTGGTAATCCTCTTTGTTCTCCTAGCTTTCCTGCATTTGGTTTAAATTGTGCTTGTTATCTTTCTTTGGGGGCATCACTTTTAGATGTATGCTGTAAATACTTCATGCATGATCTTTCCTGTTCTCAAACTACCATTTACTTATAGTTTTTTTGTTGATGGCCTTAAAAGTGGATTTTTTTTTTCTAATTGATGGAAAAATGAGTTGTTTTGAATTTAACTTATCATGTCATACTATGATTTTCTGGTAAGGCTCTTGTGTCGTGTCAAAAATCACAAGAACCTTATAAGAAAGAATTAGTAATATTGCTTGGGAAGAACTGAGCTGTGCCTCTGAGTACGTTATCATTAAATTGCCAGTAGGACCTTTATAACAGAAATTTTAGATGTTATAGATATGTACAGCAGTTCTTGAAGTGATTGGTACTATTAAATTAAATAGTTATGACGACATAAAATCTGATTTGTTTATGTACAATTGTAACATCTAAATAAACAATAATTGCAACAGCCTAAAGGACATTAGCAGTAATATCCTCAAATTATATTTCAGTTAAGAAAAATAACAAAGGTGTGGACCTCCTTGCTTCACTTTGCAACATATACAACACTACTGAAGATGAGTTGAGGAAAACAATGGAGAAAGCCAATAATGTAATAGCAGATATATTGAAGAAGAAGCCCTGCTTGGCATCAGAATGCGAAACTGAAAACCTAGAAAATGTTGATAAAGGTTCATTTTCCTTTTTGTCATTATTCTTTATTTTCATTAATAACTGATGTTTAACTGGTATTTATTATCCTTTTTCCTATAGATTGTTTGACCTATTTTAAAGATTTAATGGAAGAATCGTCTCTACCTTCAAGTTTATATTTATTAGAAAAGGATTATGATTACATGTTTCGCCACAAGAGTGAACTGGATGAGAGGTTATTCATTAATGATGATGACAGCCTATTAGCTTCTGGAAGTTTGTCTGGAGGTTCTGCTTCAGCAGGTGGTGTAAAGGTATGTTCAATGGAGAATTTGTTTCTATCATGTGTAAGTTATCTCCTAAAATCTTCTGTTATTGTATTCTGTAGAGGAAATTTGATTCACTGGCATCACCTTCTAAGACCATTACAAGTCCACTCTCACCTCATCGCTCTCCATCTTCACATGCCAATGGCATCCCTGGTAGCGCAAACTCAAAGATGGCAGCCACCCCTGTAAGCACAGCAATGACTACAGCAAAGTGGCTTCGAACTGTCATTTCTCCACTTGCACCAAAGCCCTCGCAAGAGCTGGAAAGATTTCTGACATCATGTGATAGGGATGTTACAAGCGATGTAGTGCGCAGAGCACAGATTATATTGCAGGCTACTTTTCCTAGTAGTCCACTTGGAGAACTANTGCGAAACTGAAAACCTAGAAAATGTTGATAAAGGTTCATTTTCCTTTTTGTCATTATTCTTTATTTTCATTAATAACTGATGTTTAACTGGTATTTATTATCCTTTTTCCTATAGATTGTTTGACCTATTTTAAAGATTTAATGGAAGAATCGTCTCTACCTTCAAGTTTATATTTATTAGAAAAGGATTATGATTACATGTTTCGCCACAAGAGTGAACTGGATGAGAGGTTATTCATTAATGATGATGACAGCCTATTAGCTTCTGGAAGTTTGTCTGGAGGTTCTGCTTCAGCAGGTGGTGTAAAGGTATGTTCAATGGAGAATTTGTTTCTATCATGTGTAAGTTATCTCCTAAAATCTTCTGTTATTGTATTCTGTAGAGGAAATTTGATTCACTGGCATCACCTTCTAAGACCATTACAAGTCCACTCTCACCTCATCGCTCTCCATCTTCACATGCCAATGGCATCCCTGGTAGCGCAAACTCAAAGATGGCAGCCACCCCTGTAAGCACAGCAATGACTACAGCAAAGTGGCTTCGAACTGTCATTTCTCCACTTGCACCAAAGCCCTCGCAAGAGCTGGAAAGATTTCTGACATCATGTGATAGGGATGTTACAAGCGATGTAGTGCGCAGAGCACAGATTATATTGCAGGCTACTTTTCCTAGTAGTCCACTTGGAGAACTATGTGTAACTGGAAGCCTGCAAAGTGCAAACCTCATGGACAATATATGGGCAGAACAACGAAGATTGGAAGCTCTGAAGTTATACTACAGGGTCTTGGAGGCAATGTGCAGAGCTGAAGCTCAAGTTTTTCATGCAACTAATTTGACCTCTCTTCTTACGAATGAGAGGTTCCATCGGTGTATGCTTGCATGCTCTGCAGAATTAGTCCTGGCAACTCATAAGACTGTAACAATGTTGTTCCCTGCAGTACTTGAGAGGACTGGAATTACGGCCTTTGATCTTAGCAAGGTGATTGAAAGTTTCATTAGACATGAAGAATCTCTGCCAAGAGAATTGAGGCGACATCTGAATTCATTGGAAGAACGACTTTTGGAGAGCATGGTATGGGAAAAGGGTTCTTCAATGTATAATTCTTTGGCAGTTGCCAGACCTGCCCTTTCTGCAGAGATTAACCGCCTGGGACTGTTAGCTGAACCAATGCCATCATTGGATGAAATTGCAATGCAAATTAACTTCTCTTGTGGAGGGCTGCCACCAGTGCCTACCTTGCCCAAGCTTGAAAGTTCACCAAGTAATGGTTCTCTCCTTCTAGTTCGAACCTGAAGTCTTTGGGTCATATTTTCTGAATTTTCATATAATTCTTTGTGCTTACTGAATAACTTTAACTCTAAAAGCCCGTAGTGAAAATAAATACTTCTCAACTTGAGTAACATCCTCAATCAATTTCAGTTCAGAATGGGGATATCAGATCACCAAAGCGAAATGTGTTGATGGAAAGAAATTCGTTCACTTCTCCTGTGAAAGATCGGCTTCTTCCCTTCAGCAATCTTAAGTCAAAACTACCCCCACCTCCTTTTCAGTCTGCTTTTTCCAGGTATGACAGATTGTCTGTATTCCTGTAATTTTGTTATAGCCAGTTTACTGTTTTCTTTTGGTACTTTATGTTGAATTTTTATTCAATGCAGCCCAACAAAGCCAAATCCAGCAGGTGGAGGGGAAACATGTGCAGAAACTGGTATTAACATCTTTTTCGGCAAGGTAGTCATCATAACACTGATTTGCCATGTTAACTAGGTTTCATTTGATAACTATCTTTACCTTTTAGCTTAGTGTGCTACTCTGTATATGCATTGAGATGAGCTCTTTACTCAATGTGACAACCCTTCTATCTGTTTCTTCAAAGCTTCAAGTTTTGACCATTGTGCCTCTAGGGACAACTTGATCTAGATGTTTGTGTTCGATATTAATAATTTACTTTGCCTTTTGGAAATTAACTGTTATACCACTTTGATTTGAATTATTTCATGCTGATGGAGAAGTTGTTCTGATTCACCTATTTATTTAAGATTTAATTTTTTTTGTTTCTCTACTAAATTATTTTTAAGCAGTTCAGCCTATGTTCATTTCCTTTGTTTGCTAGATCATTAAGTTGGGAGCAGTCAGAATTAGTGGCATGGTTGAAAGACTGCAATTATCTCAACAAATAAGGGAGAATGTATACTGCCTTTTCAAGCGGATCCTACATCAAAGGACATCTCTCTTCTTCAACCATCATATTGACCAAATAATCTTGTGTTGTTTCTATGGAGTTGCGAAGGTTTCTCTTTACATATAGAAACTTTGAAGTGTAATGTGTTTCTCTATTATTCCCTTTTTCTCATTCTATTCTTTTTTGCAGATTTCACAATTAAACCTAACTTTTAGAGAGATAGTATACAACTACAGAAATCAACCACATTGCAAACCACAAGTTTTCCGCAGTGTATTTGTTGATTGGTCATTAGTACGCCGAAATGGGGTATGTAGCCAATGGTTAAAATTTAATGCTTATGTAAACTTTTATGATAACTATGACCTCATGAATGAGCTTGATGAAAACAGAGAACAGGACAGGAGCATGTTGACATCATCACCTTTTACAATGAAATATTTATTCCCTCAGTAAAGCCTCTATTGGTTGAACTTGACCCTTCTGGAGCAACTACAAAAAGTGACCGAATGCCTGAATTTGATAATAAAAGTGATGGTACTTGCTTATTTGTGAATTTACTTTCAATGGCTTACCGGCTTCCTTTATTATACCAATCTTGTGATCTATTTATTGACTTGTGTGTTCTTCTCTTTACAGGCCATTTAGCTCAATGTCCAGGATCTCCTAAAGTATCATCTTTCCCTACCCTTCCCGATATGTCTCCAAAAAAAGTATCCGCTACACACAATGTATATGTCTCTCCGTTACGATCGTCCAAGGTACTAATTTATTTGTTTGGGTTTCCTTTTTGGACTGTATGTTTTCCCAGTTCTCATTATTACTGGTGCATAAAAACCATCTAACATTATGCTGTGAAAGTGGGCACTGTAGTGTTAAATCTGTACTATTTTCACAGATGACTATTTTTTTAATTTCCTATTTGATACGATCTCTAGTATACATAATAAATTCGTTTCTACGAAACCATTTATTAGAGAGCAAAGTCTTGTAACACTTATATATTCATTTGTTATCTGCACAGATGGATGCTCTAATATCACACAGCTCAAAAAGCTATTATGCTTGTGTTGGGGAGAGCACTCATGCTTATCAGAGCCCTTCAAAAGACCTGACCGCCATCAATAACCGTTTGAATGGGTATGCCTTTCTCCATGCCTTGAACTTTTGAAACTTATTATTTACTCATTTTGTTATTTTTCATCTGTCTATTAAGGTTTTTATGTAGAAATAAAGAAATACAACTGATCCTAATAAAATATTTATGACATTTCCTGTTTTACCCTCAAAATGTTTTCTGAAAGCAAAAGTATTATTGGCAAAAGGGTAGTTACTGTTATTTATATTTTGAACTTTGAAGATGTCAGATAAATAGAAGCAATTTTTAAAAAATTTGACCCTTGAATGTTAAATTATGTGTTTGATTCTATGTATTAGCAACAGGAAGGTGAGAGGACCCCTGAATTTTGATGATGTTGATGTGGGCTTGGTTAGTGATTCTATGGTTGCAAACAGCCTCTATCTGCAGAATGGAAGTTGTGCATCATCATCAGGTGCACCAGTGAAATCAGAGCAACCTGACTCTTGAAGCTCCATGTTGTGTATATTCTGCTTGTCTCCTCTCTCGAGTCCATATAATATTAGCAGCTTTTATGAGAAGGGGTAATGAATGAGCGATGAGATTGTAGAATGCCGCCACAGCCCTCTTGTACTTTGTGTATGTTAGGAATTAAATGCAGAATGTAGGTCTCTGATTATCTAATCAATAATAGCTTCCTTTCCTAGTTCAACTTGGTTTTGATCTTCATAGTTCGAATACTCATTGTTTTTCAGCTGTGTTTTGTCAACATTAACTTATTTAGGGATAGTTTATGCACATCTACAATCATCTTTCAATGAGACAGGTCTTTGACTAGGCTATAATGTTAACTAGACTTTTGAACAGGTGAGGTTAAACCAAAAAAAAAAAATACTGACAGGTTAATAGCTAGGGTTTCTGAAAGCAATTGACAGCCATGGCGGTTGACCATAAAATTCCAGGGCCAGCATGCAATGATGATAGCATGGTGGCAGTAATTCATACTGATGATGCTGCCGTGGAGTCTCATGAAAACCCTAAAATCCAAGATATCGAAAGTTCTCTAGCCCAGAAATCGTAACTTATCCTTAAAATAGAAGACTTTCTTCTTGAACTCTATCAAATCTCTTTTCAGAGTGTAAAATCTTCATTTTGATTCACCTATTTTGGATCGAGATTTTGTAAGATGTATTAATGGTTTTACTTTAGAATTTAGAAGGTCTATATACATTTTT